GTAAAGAACAGAGTAGAGAAAGCTAAGGACCAGATGAGCAAATAAGAAGACAGGGAAGAAAAAATCAACCAATCAGAAAACCAAAAGGAAAAAAAAGATTAAAAAAAACAGGAAGACAGCTTAAGATAACTGTGGGACAACAGGAAACATAATAATGGTCACATCATAGGAGTACCCGAAGAAGAAGAAAATGAACAAGGGTTAGAGAATATATTCAAAGATATAGTGACTGAAAACTTCCCTAATTTGGTGGAGGAAGAAGGCATTCAAGTTCAACAAGCACAGAGAGCCCCAAGTAAGAAAAACCCAAACAGGCCCACACCAATACACATAGTAATCAAACTGCCAAAAATTAAAGACAAAGAGAGAATCCTAAAAGCAGCAAGAGATAACAACAGGTTACCTACAAAGGAAACTCCATAAGGCGCTCAGCTGACTTCCCACAAGCAACACTACAGGCCAGAAGGGAATGGCATGAAGTAATCAAGGTCATGAAAAACAAGGATCTGAATCCAAGACTACTCTACTCAGCAAGGCTATCACTCAAAATAGAAGGTCATATAAAGAGCTTCCCAGACAAAAAAAGGCTAAGGGAATACATTAGCACCAAACCAACACTGCAAGAAATGTTAAAAGGACTGCTGTATTAGCAGAAGGAATGGGAAGAAATTTAGAACCGCACCAAACAAAAATGGCAATAAATAAGTACATATCAATAATCACCTTAAATGTAAATGGATTGAATACTCCCATGAAAAAACACAGAGTAGCTGACTGGATAAGAAACTATGACTCATCTATATGTAAACTACAAGAGACCCACCTCACCACAAAAGACTCCCATAGATTGAAAGTGAAGGGATGGAAAAAAATCTTCCAAGCAAACGGAAAGGAAAAAATGCTGTGGTAGCAATACTTATATCTGGTAAAATAGATTACAAAATGAAGGCCATAACTAGAGACAAGGAAGGCCACTCCATAATATTGAAAGGATCTATCCAACAGAAAGATATAACCTTGATAAACATATATGCACCCAATATAGGAGCACCAAAATATATTTAAAATCTTCTGGAGGACTTCAAAGGAGAAATCGATAGCAATACAAATCATAGAAGGGGACTTCAACACCCACTCACATCACTGGAAGTATACTCTAGACAAAAAATGAGCAAGGAAACAGAGACTCTAAATGAAGCAGTAGACCAAATGGATTTAATAGATATTTACAGAGAATTAAACCCAAAAACTACAGAATTCACATTCTTCTCAAGTGCATATGGGACATTCTCAAGGATGGACCACATGTTAGGGCACAAACTAACTCTCTACAAGTTCAAGAAGACTGAAATCATATCAAGCATCTTCTCAGATCACAATGGCATGAAACTAGAAATCAATTACAAGAAGAACATACAAAGATTTTTGAACACATGGAAGCTAAGTAGCATGTTATTAAACAATTAATGGGTCACCGAGGAGATCAAGGAAGAAATCAAAAACTTCCTGGAAACCAATGAAAGTGAAGACACAACAACACAAAATCTATGGGATACAGCAAAAGCAGTTCTGAGGGGGAAGTTCACAGCACTGCAGGCCTACCTCAAAAAACAAGAAAAATTTCTAAGAGACTATCTAACATCACAACTTAATGAACTAGAGAGTAAACAAAAAGAAAACCACAGAGCAAGTACAAGGAAGGAAATAGTAAAGATAAGAGCAGAAATAAACGACATAGAGACAAAAAAAAATAATTCAAAGGACCAATGAAACAAAAAGGTGATTTTTCGAAACGATAAACAAGATTGGTGAACCCTTAGGTAGATTCACAAAAACAAAACAAAACAAAACAAAAAAAAAAACAGAGAGAGAGAACACAAATACACAAAATCAGAAATGAAAGAGGAGAAGTAACAAATGACACCACAGAAATACAAAAGATCGTTAACAACTACTATGAACAATTATATGGCAACAAATTTTACAATCTAAGCAAAATGGAAAATTTTCTGGAAACACATAGTATCCCAAAACTGGACCAGGAAGAGATAGAAAACTTAAACAGACCAATAACAACAGAATAAATTGAAGATGTAATGAAGACTCTCCAGGCAAACAACAGTCCAGGCCCTGATGGCTTCACGGGGGAGTTTTACTGAACATTCAAAGAAAAACTAATACCCATTCTCCTCAAACTATTTCAAAAATTCAAAAAGGAAGACTTCCAAACTCGTTTTATGAAGCCAGCATAATTCTAATTCCAAAACCAGAAAAAGACACAACAAAGAATGGAAACTACAGGCCAATATCCCTGATGAACATAGATGCCAAAATCCTGAACAAAATACTAGCAAATCAGCTCCAGCAATACAAAAAAAAAATTATCCACCATGACCAAGTGGGATTCATCTCAGAGATGCAAGGCTGGTACAATATTAGCAAATCAATAAACGTCATACACCACATGAATTAAATGAAGAATAAAAACCACATGGTCATATCAATAGATGCCAAAAAAGCATTTGACAAAATCCAGCATCCATTTCTGATAAAAACACTCAGCAATGTGGGAATAGAGGGATCATATCTAGACATCATAATGGCCATACATGAAAGACCTATAGCCAACATCATTCTCAATGGGCAAAAACTAAAAGCATTTTCCTTAAGATCATGAACAAGGCAAGGATGCCCACTTTCACCACTCTTCTTTAACACAGTACTGGAAGTCTTAGCCACAGCAATCAGACAGGAAGAAAAAATAAAAGAGATCCAAATTGGAAAGGAGGAGGTCAAACTGTCATTATTTGCAGATGACATGATACTATACGTAGAAAATCCCAGAGACTCCATCAAAAATTTACAACACTTAATAAATGAATTTGGAAAAGTAGCAGGATACAAAATTAAGGTCAAGAAATCAATGGCATTCTTATATACCAATGATGGGCTCACAGAAATAAAAACTAAGAAACAATCCCATTTATCATTGCATAAAACAAATTAAGATACCTAGGAATAAACTTATGACTCATGAATCCATAAAAATCCTAGAAAAAACTGTAGGCAACAAAATTTCAGACATCATATGCAGCAGAGTTTTCACAAATACATCACCTAAGGCAATATAAACAAAGGAGAAAATGAACACATGGGACTAAATCAAACTCAAAAGCTTCTGCACAGCAAAAGATACAATCATCAAAACTGAAAGGGTACCCACTGTATGGGAGACCATAATTGCCAATGATATATCAGATAAGGGGTTAATTTCCAATATATATAGAATGCTTATACAACTCAACAAAAGGAAGACCAAGAACCCAATTAAAAAATGGGCAGAGGAACTAAATAGACACCTCTCCAAACAGGACATACAAATGACTAAGAGACATTTGAAGAAATGTTCAACATCACTAAACATCAGAGAGATGCAAATTAAAACAACAATGCGGTGTCACCTCACACCTGTCAGAATGGCCTCCATCAACAAATCATCAAACAACAATTGTTGGCAAGGGTGTGGAGAAAAGGGGACTCTAGTACACTGCTGGTGGGAATGCAGACTGGTGCAGCTACTATGGAAAACAATATGGTGTTACCTCAAAAAATTTAAAATTGAACTTCCATTTGATCGAGTGATCCCACTTCTAGGAATATACCCTAAGAAGCCTAAAACACCGATCATGAAAAATATATATACCCACATATTTGTAGCAGCACTATTTACAATAGCTAAGATCTGGAAACAGTCCAAATGTCCTTCAGTAGACAAATGAATAAAAAAACAGTGCTACATATACACAATGGAGTACTATGCAGCTGTAAGAAAGAAAGATCTCTTATTTTTTGAGACAACATGTGTGTCCCTGGAAAGTATCATCCTAAGCAAAACAAGCCAAACAGAGAAAGACAAGTATCATATGATCCCAGTTATTTGTGGAATATGACAAACATAACAGTCTGAGTAATGGGGTAGTCCCAGGGACATGTAAGTGGCTACAGACTGACAATCCCCAGAAGAGGTGGTGGTGGGGGAGAGATAAACCCCAGAACTTATTTGCATGTGTTCATGAACAATGGACATGGACAACAAAGCTGGTGACAGGGCAGGGAGGGAGGTGGAGGGGGAAACAGTGGGAAAAAATGAGAAACATCTGTCACAAAAATAAATTAATTAAGTAAAAAAAAAAAATAGTGCGTTCAACCGATTTCGCATGTAAGCTCCCTATCAACATCTCACATTACCTCTTAGGTTTCACTGCTTGAAATCTGAGTTTATTCTGCTCACCTAATCCATTTGGAGAGGTGCAACAGAGACAGGACAACCTACAAATAGATACAGGACGAAATTTGCAAGCATCAACAGACATTTTATACTTGTTTTGAATAAAAGGTGCCTCAAAATCTGTATGTTGATTTAATGTGAATAAAAACAAGATGCTATCCAATTTGTAACTGCTTTCCTGTTTTGTTTTGTTTTTTCCCCTCTTTTCTTTTTTGGTCAAAGCCACAGAAATACAGAACTCCACATGCAGGTCAGAAGAGAAGCACCAGGAAAAAATCAAAGGAAGTGACTAGAGTCTGGCCAGTGTGTTTAAAATAAAAAGATAAAGCAAAGGAGAAAAATAAAACAGCACCTCAATCCAAAGAGCTTCCACATGGTGGTTGGTTTCCTTTATTGCTTTAGAGAAACTCCTGTGCTGGAAGGAAACAAGAAACAAGAAGGAAAAAGGACAGAAAGAAAATGGAGAAAGAAGTGGCAGGAGGGAAAAATAAAAAGAACAAAACAGGCACTAGATACAGCAAAGTCAAGAATGTATTAAAAACCACTTGTTAACTGCTGACATTCACTCACAAGCTCTATAGTTTCCTTTGTAAGAAAGGAGGACAAAGGTCAGGTGCAGGAATGGTAACTGCAGGACTGCCAGTCCAGGAGGCTACCCAGGACACACTCTTGCTCTAACAGCCCCCTACCCCATTCCCTCCAAACCACAAGCTCATTCTTGCTCCTTGTGGGAAACTTCCTCTCTGGGCGGGGCTTTCTCTGAAGGTAGCAGAGTTGGGATTAGCTACTTAATTGAGGGGTGTCACAACTGTTCAAGATTTAAGCTGGAGCCATTGTTTCCGTGCTCTTTCCTCTTCTGTTGGTTCTCTGAAATTCATATCGGATCCTCCTCGAAGGGAAGGACCATCTCTGAAACGACTTCCCATTGGGGGCTGTTGGTGCACTGGTTACCTGGGTGACTCCCTCCCCTGCCTCCTAAGAAGTTGTCCCTGAAGCCTCTGTCATCTGGTCCACCTTTCCTGAATCCAAAACCACCTTTATCTTGTTTTCTGCCTTCTGCAATGTCCACACGAACTGACCGATCACCCAACAGTGCAACTTCATATGTCAAGGCTTCCTTAAGGAAATCCACCTTGTCAAATTCTACATAGCAGAAACTTTTGAATTTGTCTTTATCTTTGTCTCTGACTAGCCCTACACTCTTTTTGCTGAGATCTTTAAAGATAGCATCTATGTCGCCCTGAACCATATTAAAAGGTAGATTTCCTACATAAGCTGTGTAGGGAGGCTCTGTGAGCAGGTCCTTCTGGCTGCGGGAACCATGGCCACCAGCACTGCTGAGAAACCCTCTGCCACCGCTGAAGCTGCTGTAGGCCCAATAGTGGTAGGTATCAAAATTCACCATTTGCCATCTCTGCTCTGAAAGCTGGTTCAGACAGTTTTGCCAGGTCTTTGAATATGTCTTTGGAACAACGGATACTTGAAATTCCCTATGCTGACATTTCGACTCCTGGTCCCTGCTGACTGTTTCTGTAAGTAAAGTTTTATTAGAACACAGTCCCACCCATTTTGTTGCACAATGGAAGAGTTGAGTAATTGCAACATCAACTGTGTGGCCCCTAAACCTAAAATATTGTTATATTTTCCAATGAATTAAAATGCCAGTTTAATCTTAATCAAATATAGATTCATTTTTCTGAACCATTATTTTTTGTGCTTAATAACTCTGTTCTAGCAAGCGTTCTATACTCTTAATTATTTCACTTTTATAGATAACATTGATCAATGTAAGTCTTATTTTATTATTCTTTCCAATACCTTTTGCTGTACTTGCTTGTCTGCTATAGATAGATATTAAAATTATTTTGTCAAGGCTTTTACAACTCTACAATCATATTGAAAATTTGAATAATATACAATATGTACTTTTTACAATATTGGATTTTCTTTCTAAGAAAATATGTAAATTTATGCAATTTATTTTTATTTATCCCTGTAAACTCTTCTTATATTTAAATTAAACAGTATATTTGTTCTGATTCATCATCAGAATTTTATATTTGATTGTTATTTTGTATAGATTAATCCATCCAATGTTAAATAACTGTTGTGGTATACAGGTACCATTTTTGGTCCCAGATATTGATAAGAATGCTTTTAGTGCTGTGATAGATTAAATTTATTTATCTATTGTGGTAACGTTGTAACATGTCAGTAAGATAACTTGAGATGCGCAGTTGAATTATAAAGAAGCACTTCATTACACCAGTGGGCTGGGGGGTACAGCTTCTACAGATACTCAGACCCGATTCTTCTTGCTCATTTGATTTTAAAGACAGAAGCCCCATTTCCCTTTTGCCCCCTCTCCACCGCTCAGGGAACCAGTATAACAGTGGGTGTGATAGCGATTACAGAAGTCTATATTAGCATAATTCACTGGGCTCATGATTTGCAGTTTCTGATACTTGGAAACTGCAAATACCTCCCAACACATGGGCCAACTATAACCTTAGCAAAATCCCTTTACTTCTAGGGGTGATTAAACTATTCAAAAATATTGAGGAAGGTCCATTGACTACATAAAAATGGAATCTAGTTGCCTTAGTCTCAGGGCCCAGGTCATTTCCTGACTGGTTTTCCTGACAAGTCAAATCGTTGACTCATCTTAGTTTGTTTTATTTTTGTTATCCTCACCCAAGGACATTTTTCCATGTTTTTGTTTAGATAGAGTGGGAGGGGGGGGGGGGAGAGAGAGAGAGAGAGAGAGAGAGAGAGAGAGAGAGAGAGAGAAACATTGATGTGAAAGGGACACATCAAGTGGCTGCCACCCGCATGACCAGGGCTGGGGACAAACTGCAACTGAGGTACGTGCCCTTATCAGGAACCGAACCCAGGTCTCTCTGGACTGCAGGCCAATGCTCTAACCACTGAGCAAAACTTGCCAGGGCTCGTCTTAGTTTTTATGAGGCCATTTATTAGACATGCATTACCCAAAGGCTAGGAGTAAATATAATATAGAGAGAGGGCCGGTAATGGCGGATAATAAACTTGTAAACCAGTTTTCAGATTGTCGCCTTTTTCTTTCTTGTTCCTCAATATTTTTCATAAATAGTGGTAAACTTTCTTGAATAATCCCTAAATTACTCACATAAAAACAGCATTTTTCTCCCAGTGCAACACATAATCCTCCTTCCTTCAGAAATAAGAGATGTAATCCTCTCCTGTTCTATAGGACCATTTCGGCTAAAGCGTTTTCTAAGTAGCTGAGATCTGTATCTATTTGGAGGCTGACGTTTCTTACATTCTACTCATTCTTGATTAGGGCAGGAATGCCCACAGCTGTAGATAGTTGATGTTGGTCAGCTTTTTAAAATTTATATGTGGATCCCTCTTTCCTAGATAGCCTGTAATAGTAGATATTGTTTTACAACGCCAAGAGGGACAGAAATATTCATTAGCATTTAATCTTGCCACCTCCTGGGCAAATATAAATTTCTACTTCTTGCAATCCCCATTCTGTAGAAGATGTTCTACAGCTCTATGCTGGGGTGTCTTCTAGTTGGGGGCTAGCCCCTCCATATGTGACTCAGACATCAGGGACCTTTGTGAACCTGACAGTCTCCCTTAAGCTGTCACATAGATTAAGGTTGAAGACAGGTTTTTCTATTCCCATTGTAGTAACATTTCTTAAAACCTCCCCAATACTCCATTTCTAAGTTCCCAGGTCTACTGGGGCCCAGGTCTATAATGATTACCCTGAACAATTATAACCATAAAAATCAAAGTTCCAAAAAATGCAAGTGTCTTATCTGGAGAGGCCTGAACTGTCCATTTTGCTTTTTCCCCCTCAGCCAGGATGGTGCTGACAGATCGGGATGCCATTGACCATGATAGCCATTGTTGCAGGCAGGATGACAGTGTATAGTCCCTCCCAGGCTGGAGTTAGTCCTTGAGTGGTGAACTTCTTTACCCATATCAAGTCCCCAGGCTAAAAAGAGTGCACAGGATCTGAGGTAGGCAGAGGCAGGACATTGCAGCTTTCTGGGCAGACTGAAGGGCCTACAAGAACTGTAAGAGGGCAAGGGGAACAGAGTGGTCCAGTTTTTACCTGTTTCTAAAGTAAATTTGGTTAACGTTTCCTTTAAGTTCCTGCTTATGTGCTCTATCTTCCTAGAACTCTGTGGGCAGTAAGTACAATTGAGTTTCCAATTTATATCTAACCGTTTAGAGATATCCCATGATTTCTTTGCTATAAAGGCAGGGCCATTGCCTGATCCACGGGTCATGAGTAACCTAAACCTGTTACTTCCTTTACTATATCCCAGACGGTTATTCCATTACCAGGGGCAAGCTCTCCCTCTCTCAGTGTACTATTTTCTTCCCTTCTTGAATATTCCTCCAATATCCTATCTTCCTGAAATATGTATGTTCCTTTTATCCTTTCTTATCTTTTTATTTTCTCTGCATAATCCTTCTCCTTTTATTTATTTCCTCTACACAATTTTGCTTTAACTTGCATAGACTCTCTGTGACTTTCCTAGTCCTTCCCCTGACATTAACCTGAGAGCTTGCTCAATCTATCTGAAGTCTACACATTCTCCAGTTTTTCTTCTTCTCCTCCCTACTCAGATTCATACATTCCTGCTTCCCTCTGCCTCTCCCTTTCCCTGTGACCTTCCTGGACATTACCTGCCTCTCAGAAGTTCAGTAAGTGTGGTGTAACCTAAGTGGGTAGTCTGGTGCAGCTGGTTGATTAAAGTTGGACCTAGAGCCTCTGGGAATAACAACTTTCCATCAGGCAGTTTCCACCATCCATTGATTTCCTTTATGGCTACTTTCTGCTTGGCTAGGTCATTTTCTGACCTGGTGTATCTGGAGAGGCCCCACTAGTTTTAGGTTTGCCTTCCAAGTTTTCTGATCTGCAACAGATTTCTCTTTCCCCATTGGAGAGCCTAGATTAGGGCTATGAGTTCAGCGTGTTGGGCTGAAGTTCCCCTATTCAAGGACTGTGACCAGACAACACGATCCATAGTTACTACTGCTGCCCCAGCATATATGATTTCTTCCTGAACATAGCTGCTCCCATCCGTGAGCAATACTTCATTTCATGATGGCAGTGTGACATCCATGAGGTCTAGTAGGACCCTCTGCACTATGTCGGTTACCTCCAGGCAGTCCTGTAGAGGTTTATCCAGGTCATCATTTGGAAGCGGGCTGGCAGGATCGATGGCCAACGTCTTGCGGAATTTTATGTGAGGCTGGCCTGGAGTGGCAGTGGCCAGCAATCGAACGATCACTGGATAAGATCATGTCTGAGTAGGGGGTATGAGCACTCTGGCATGACCAGAAACGAATGAGTCACAGTATTTTTCCCAAGGTCTGTAGTCCTCTTTGAAGTCCTTGGGTAGGTTAAGTGCACATTGGCTTGGTCAGGGCTGTCTTCTGCACCAGTGTCCTCTATATTTGACTTTGTCTTAGTCTATTTTATCCCTAACCAGGACCTAGGCCTGCCATCCTGACCCTTCCTAGGGTGATCCTTCTCCATGGGCCCTGTTTCCCTTAAGGCTGCTTTTATTACCTTTGCTATTCTTTTGTCTTGCTTTTCCCCAGGGGTGTCTCTATTATTATATACTTTTTGAGCTATTTAACCAATTGAGCCTTCAGGCCTAACAGGAGAACATGATGAAAAGTGTCCAAGGAAGCCCTCCCCTGGCAGTATTTGATTCCCACAGAGGGAAGAGGTATGGGAAAATTTCCTCTGGCCCCAGGTTTTCACAAGGATGCAGGAAAGGGGAGCATCAACCTAGCGCGCGTTTATGTGGGGTAGAGTGTTGTTCAACTCTCCAAGAGCAATTCATGCCTGCACCTGGGATTTCTATTTTCAACTCCCCAAAGTTCAGATAAGCCTGTTGGAAACTTGCTGCCACCAAACCCGGGGCAGACAGCCTGACAGACAAGCTGCCCAGGCTGCCACCAGAAAAACACACCCCTTCCATGGCCCGACCACCCTTCCTGGGGAACCCTGTGGCCTCCAGGTGAGTGCCTGTGTGCCCACCTGCCACCCACTGCCCCCATTTTCCAGGATGATGGCCTATCCACACTGGACCCCAGTCCCGATGTGCAGCACCATGCAGGACGCACAGGGCAGCCCACCAAGAGGGAGCGTCCCTGAATCACTTATTACTCTTGTAACTGCCTAAATAAACCAAGCTAAAAAATCTTTTTTTTTTTTTTTATCCTCACCCGAGGACACTTTTCCATTTTTTGTTCAGGTAGAGTGGGAGGGAGAGAGAGGAAGAGAGAGAGAGAGTGAGAAACATCCACGTGAAAGGGACACATAGAGTGGTTGCCACCCGCATGACCCAACCGGGGCTGGGGACAAACCGCAACCGAGGTATGTGCCCTTAGCGGGAACCAAAC